AACGAGCTCTGGAGGACTGGGATTCGATGCATTCTATGCGTCTGTAATTCTTTGTTGGAAAGAAATAGGGAGAGTTAGGCAGGTGAGAAGCATGTCGTATCCGCTTTTCCATGTTGTTCCCCTTTTCTTTTTGCAAGCAGGAACAGATTGCAGAGAAAGAGCGGCAAAAGAAGGAAGAGGCGGAGAATCGAAGGCAACGGGATCGGCAAATTGAGGTCCCCATTGCCAGCCAAATGCCTGCGGGTGGCCAGATGGTGCCGCAGGACCCAGGAATGTCGCCGCAAGTTCCAGCCATGGCCAATAATATCGAGGGCCATCGTCTGGGTCATCAAGAAGATCCAGGTGGCTTTGTCCAAATTGGGAAATCATAGAAAGCCCATGACAACCACAGAAAATCAGGGTTTTCCCCTCACTTCAGTCCTGTTCTGAGGTGCAGAGCAGCGGCGCAAGAAGCAGGAGGAGATGAAACGAGTCTTGGCAGAGCAAATTGCGGAGAAGGAGCGGCAAAAGAAGGAGGAAGAAGAGCGGAGGTGGGCTGATGAACATTTTGGAAGGATGTTGTTGGGTTACCACCAATGGTTCCTGACCATGCACAAGCAGGTACAAACTACATTTATGTACAAGTACAAGCTATAGTACAGCTCAGTATTTGAGGTATGGGAAGCCTGTGCACTTCAGAATTTGGATGTCAAACTGAGTGACCTTGTGAGTGACCTTGAGTCTCAATATGTCTTAAGATTTCTTAATCGCAGAATGAATTCTTGCCCTGGGGTTCCAAGTGAAGAACTGACTCTTCGGCGGGTTCTAGATTGAGCACCTTCCCCCAGGAGACACTTTGTATTCCAAGTCATCATTAGCTGGGATGGAAAGGCTAAGACATCCACCGCAAGCTGCATAGATACCTGATGTTTGGTCAAACGTTGATTACTTCGATGGTGGTTTGCATGTCCATGCAATTGCGGATTGAAATCTGCATTCAATTGACATATGTTACTTGTACTATGTTTGACAATATAGTTCTTGGTAAAATGCATATTGTTTTAATGTCAGTCAGTACCCAAAAATTGGAAGATGACCATTGCAATGACAGATTTGGGGTGCTATTCTGGGAGGCGGCAAGAAGAGGAAGCAGACAATGAGCGGATTCGCCGCGAACAACAAGCTGAAGACGCCAGGTGTGAGCGTTGTTTGAAACTCTGTGGGTTGGTTGTATATCCAAATGAACGTTAGTATGGACAATTCATGCCATAAATGAAGGTTTTAATAGGAACATCATTTGCAAATGATGGATTTTCATCGGTTTTCCATTGCCATGTTTGATTGCCGGAGGGTATATAATATATTACAAGACTTATTGGAAACCAGCCAAGAATAAGCACAGAAGTCACCCATATTTGGTTCCTTGAAGTCAACAGAACTACCACAAACAGAATTTAACAGATATAGAATGGTATTTTGGGGCCAACTCAACAGAACTCAAGACTTTGGTTGATTAGCATCGCAAGGGGCGGGTGTGCGTTGTGACTTGTCTATCTATTTGGGGTGCTGATGTGCTTCACCTGACTATTTGGATCCAAACTAGCAATTCCAGCATCGGAAACTGTTAGGTGTTTCGTACGCGGGAACAGCATGAACCAGATTGAGATGCAGGAAGCATATCCTGGAAGCATTCGACTGTTCTTGTGCTTGAAGTAATTCTGCGGCGTCTTTGAACACATTCTTTTCTTTTTTGTATGATGCACTACTAAAATGTCCTGACATGGAAGTGTAAGATGTCCTCCGTGGGAAGCTAAACATTTGCCACCTCCATGGGTGTACCGTACTCACCAAGAGAACAGGTTAGTTTTGAGTGGCTATGTCTGAATTTGTTTGCCGGTGATCTGAGGGAAAAAACCATCTTCAGTATGGCCCAAAAATTGCTTGAAGTAAACCTTTGGAGGAAACTGTCCATGTCAATCCCATGCTTTCCTGGTTTTTGTGTGGATTTTCCCCCCAAAAAAAACCATCCCTTGACACTGCCATGTCAGGCTGGAACAAAGGCGGCAAGAGGAGGAAGCCAGGCAGAAGGCGTTGCAGCAGCAGAACGCCGCCGCGGCCGCGCAAGCCGCTGCCGCTGCACGCCGGGAGGAAGATGATGAACCCCCAGGGCCCTTGCCCAATAAGCACCATGGGAACCACAGCAGGGCATCCAGAACCACAAGAGATACCCAGAACCAGGGATTCAACAACAAGTCTCTCGGTTTGGTGGTTTTTATTTATGGTTTGATGATCTGTTGTTTTTTGGATGTTCCATCAGTTCCCTAATGATCCCAATTGATGTATTCTTTGCGGGGTGGCTCAACCAGGTCTGATTTGTTTGGTTTGCCGCCCTCTGCACCAGCTGCATCGCCAACAGCCTCGCCATTGCCCTGGGAGACCCAAGTGCCGCAGCCGCAGCAGTCAGGGACGTCATTCAGAAGCAGCCGGCATCAGGCGAGGGAGGCAGCGGCAGCGCACGGGAGCCTTCATGCCGTCGTGAATCCCAGCCACGCGGCTGGCATGGGATTGCAGGGCCAGGCACCTATGGGTGACATGCTGCAACTTGGCGAAAGTAAGTCGCTAGTGATAGAGTGACGAAAGATGACGAAAGACCCCAAGCCAGGCTGACCATGCTCATCCATGCTCCGAGGCAAGGCTTGATGTATCAGCAGCAGGAGTTGTATCGCCATCAGCAAGAAGCTCTGGCGCGATTGCAAGATGAAGCCGAACGTCTTCGGCAAGAGAAGCTTGAAGCAATGGGCGCGATGGGCGCGATGGGCGCGATGGGCGCGATGGGCGCGATGGGCGCGATGGCCAACGCGATTTGGATGGTTTTTGTGGTGGTGATTGATCAATAGAGTGTAGATAATTAGTTGCTTCAACATGCTTTAGCCTGCTTTATCTCGCTAGGAAGAATGTTAGTATCGCATTGGATGACTGACGTGTATCAATTGCATCAGCATCCAACTATTGAGCTGCTCAAGCTTCAGTTTTCCATCAGCTGCGAAATCAAACTACTGAGTCCAAAGAAGTAATCCTTACGCCTTACTGTACACAAAGAATGGCCAAAGGATGATGCTGACAGGGTGGCGGCTGATCGCGCTTGTGATTTTTCGGCTGCTTTGAGATAGAATTCATTCAGTTTGGTCGAATTTAAGACCTCACAAAACCCACCCTGTAGCAATCAGCCCTGCCACGTTTAGGAAAGAGATGGCCAAGCAAGACCTGCTGGATATGAAAGCCAAACAGCTGGAAGAGAAGGAGAAGGATGTGAAGAAGTTGCAGAGAAAGCTCCAGAGACAGCCACTTATCACATCTTAGTGACGTCTTAGTGAGATTATGCGGGCTCGGAAGTATTCCCGGGGCATCATCTAGTGGGACTAAGCAGTAAAACTGGGGGTGACAGCCGAATGTCTCATGGCATCTGAAAAAACCTCAGCTGTTGTTCCATCCCTGAAATGGTTGGCTGCCATTGTGCTGAAGGTTGTGCTACAGGTGCTGAAGGTTGTCTCAAACTTCAATAGAGATCATCAAAAACCAGGAAATCTCGAGGGTTCCGCGGTTAATTTTCTGGAGACTTAAGGGAGCAAAGGGTTTCTTCAGTGGTTTTCGTACTTTTGTACTGATCCCAGAGTTGATTTAAGATGATTTAAGGGAAAATCCAAGGGAAACTGGGAAACCACTAAATTTGGGATTCAAAACCATAGGTTCCTCTAAGTGTTTTCTTACATCAATCAACAATCATCCATCATCCATGGTCGTTGTCGTCGTCCTCCTCGTCCTCCTCGTCCTCCTCCTCCTCCTCGTCCTCCTCCTCCTCGTCCTCCTCGTCCTCATCCTCATCCTCATCCTCATCCTCATCATCATCATCATCACCATCATCACCATCACCATCATCACCATCATCAACATCAACATCACCATGAATATCAAACAATTATCTCACAAAACCCCTGCCATTTTTCTTGCAAAGACTTGATGCCCAGGATGTTGCTGCAAGGTGGGACCCAGCTGGCCCCCATGGACAGCATGCTACCCTCGGTGAGCTCCACCCCACGGCCAGACGGCAGTGGAGCGCTGGTGACCAGCGGAGCCGTGGAGGGTGCAGCAGCGCCAGCATATCTGGGAGATTTCTATTCCAAATACGAGACACCCAAGGAGCCACAGCAACTGCGAACTGAGAGGTGCTGGTCCAAAGCTGGTTGACGATGTTGATGTTGGGAGTTTTGTCATTTTTATTGTGATGTCCCAAGGATTCAGATCATCTCGAATCATTCCCTAGTTCGGATTTTTGGTTGAAACCAGCGAAACCAAACATCAAGAAACCCCAGGGTCGAAGCGGAAAGTGGCTACCCCTCGGATGACGACTTCCGGAAAATGCGTATGGAGTCAAATGACCCTTCCGCATGGCCTGTGGCCCCTGTGCCATGGCTCCAAGCGGAGAACGAGCAGAGCCAGGATTTGAGGGATCCCAAGGAACCCAGAATCATCTCCAGCATCGAGGCACCAAATCCCGCCAGCATTGGCGCCTCACTCTTTGAGGACAGTTGGGGAAAACCATTGGAAAACACAGGCGGGGATTTTTCATGGGTCTGTTGGTGGATGGTGAATGGTGGTGGATGATGGATGGTCAGTGCTTGAAACATGGGAAAACATACAGGTGTTACAGGAGGTTCTGCTTTTCTTTCACTCCCAGTTTTTATTGAAGACGTCAGGAAGCCTGGCCTTGAGGTGTTCCCACGCCACCCTTCACCACTCATTTGTTGCTATCGGCACGGCCAGGTCAGGTTGAAGCTCGGCTGGATCAAACCAAAGACAGCGCCAGGGAGGTCATCGGCAGCTCATCCAAGGTGATCACAAGTTACAGTCAACTGGGGAAGGCAGGTGATCCCTTTGGTTCCACCAAGATGGAAGGAACTCTGGTGGGTGAATCCAAGTTCCTCCAAGCTGACCCGCAAGGCTGTACCATGGGGGCCACTTGGAAAGATGCGGCGGAGATGAGTGGGCAGGCATTGCCTTCCATGAAAACGGGCATGGTGGAACAGGAGAAGAGTCAGAAGACCATCAAGCATGAGATTGAGAGCTCCAGTTTGGGCAGCACTTCCAAACTCTTGGAATCCCTTCAGGTGAAAAACGAGGATGACACCACAGATCCCTTGCGCATCCTGGAGGGTGCCGTGAATGCGATTCGTGAGGCCCGGCATGAGGATGGCGGCCATTCCTTGACAAGTTCCGCGTTCCTGAGCGCCAGAACGTCAGGGCTGGGCTTGGATGGCGATTTTGGGGCTGGCGATTCGGTGACCCGAAGGGTCGACATGGCTGCTGCTGAAATTCCCCTGGAGGATCTGTTGCAATCGCAGCAGGGCTGGGGCAATGTCCTCCGACACTTCGGGGCAGCCGCAGAACAAGAGGCACAGGAGAAACCCTTGCGACGGCAGGATGCGAGCCATCACATTGGTGAGGGAAGTGAAGGAGGTTACCCCAGCCTCCAGAAATTGGAGCGCCTGGATCAAACAGAGCTAAGCTCCTTTCAAGGTGCTGATCAGTCAGGTCGGAGTGACAGGGTGCAGGATAGTCTCGATCTATTGCAAGATCTACAGCAGCTTCAGGCCACCAGTGGCTCTGCCACCAATGGCACGAATGGCACCAATGGTTGCCTTGGGCAGCTGGGAACTCTCCAGCGACCCATTGTAAAAGATGACTTTGCAGCTTTGGCAGCTGCCACCCCAGAGGATTTCGATGCATTCCTGGCACGACTGAAGGGACAGGAAGCTGGAAGCTCCCGGGGTCGCTCCCCTCAAGTCTCGATGAATGTGAAGGAGGGGCCTGCAGGGGGCCTAGATGGGGCTGTGGACCAGTGGATGGTTGGTGATTCTGGATATTCATCAGTTTTTCTGTGATGACTTTTCAGGGTGTTGAAACCAGCAAGCAAATTCTGGACGGATAGGTGCGTTGGCCTATAGAGTCAATTCTGACCAATTTGCATCAAACCCAGACCCAGGTGTGATAAGGCGAGAAGTTGCACGGGATGTGTTCCGACTATACATGGTGAAAATCCATCCGACCTTATCATACCTCATCAATGGATATCAATGGAATTATCATGAATTGTCCTTAAGAACTTCCAACCGATAGACCAGAAACCTTGTTGCTCAGTGCTGTGGTGCCCATAAATCGATTCATGGGACTCCGATCTCCAGAAATGATGCCGATAGTACCACCCAATTGCTGGTGCTTATACCATTGATTTCTGCTACACTTGGGGATGGTTCATCATTGGGTTTACCATGGTTTACTATGAATTGGTGTAAAACTTGATTGGCCAATCTATTGGTCACTTGAATCTTCAGATTGACCCACAGCCACATTTTCAGCCCGCTCGGTTTCAAAACATTATTCTATCATACTCTATGATTTATCATCCAGAAGTTTCTGGAAATCTGTTGGCTAAAGATTTGGTAAATTTCAATCAACTTCATGTATAGATATATAATATTTTGCAGCTTCCATCATGTTGATCTGGTATAGGTACCCAACTGGTACCCAACAGGTGCTGCCATCTTCATATCCCCACCCATTGCAGGAACGCGCCAAGTTCGGATCCCCGACCCTGCGCGCAGCTGGGTCCATGCTGGGTCACCTCGAACCGCCCAGCGGCCACAGACCAGAGAGTGGCAGCAGCGGGACCAGCGACCTGTCGGCGCCAGGCTGGGGGCATGGGTCTGGGTAACTTATAACGACCTCACTACGACCTCACTGGAAATCATAGTAAGGGAAATCATCCCCAAATGGCCTTAATTCAGGTTAGTGAATTATTATCATTTACCCAGATGAATAATGCAAGGGTTTGCGGTATTTTTTTGGGGGGTCAAAGAATGGGGAATGCAAAATTGCAAGCAACAAGCCAATGTTCAACAAATTCGACACAGATGGGGTACTGGCATCCCATGGTTTTACCATGTCTTACCTCAACTGGCCCCAAATGTTTGGACACTTCACCCAGGTGCCTTGAGGGAGCTGCGGAATCAACGAAAAAAACCCAAGACGGCGGAGGATTTGTTGCTGCACGGCTCCGATTTGATGATCCCTGGCCCCGCTGTGGGTGGACCTGGGACTAGTCTCCATGCCACCATGCCAGCGGAGAAGCGCGAAGTCATGGGTGGCTTGCAGGCTTTGAGACAAGAGAAGTACCAGGGCACCACCTAAGATGAACCTAAGACGAAGTGATGAAGCTGATAGGGACCAAAACGGTCGACACCTGGAGCACAGCTGGCGAGATTTTGGGACAAGATGACCTTGGAGGCTCAGTGTGGACAGTGGGTGCTACAGCTTCGATGTCTGAAAGGTGACATGGTGCGACAGCGACCCAGATCCAGGCCCGGCTTGTGAAGGCATGATGAATCCCGCATGACAAATGTTGTAAATGTTGCAAAGGTCACATTTGCCACACCGCGTGTCTCAAAAATCGAAGGGACCTCCGACTGAAAGTTTGAAGTTTGTCCTGCAATACAATGGTGTAATGGTGGCCGTATTCGAACAGTTCAGTAGAAGTAAGGTTGTTAGTCACATGTTTTGAGACACGTTTGCTTGTACCATAGATACATGTAGCCGCGTCAGTCTCTGCACTTGATCTAAGTTCATCAAGCGGGATACCCAGCATGATGCGGCGAAAGTGCTTTCGCGACTTTGCAGAGTCTTGCCCTGTTCCAAATCTCTACTTATGTCCAGAGACCACTGGTATATGAAAGTTTCCTAAAATGGAGGTACCCCTAAATCGCCAATTTTAATAGCATGTTCCATTATTATTATTATTATTATATATCATTATAAACCATCTATGTAGCTATTGGAGATCCCTCATTTCTGGAAACCCCCGTTGCTGGGACTTGAACTTCTCAGACCTGAAATGCAGATGGCAGCTGGTCATGGTGCTCTCACGCTGCCGGCAGCCAGGTAGCTGCAGCTGGAGACATGAGCAAGGCTTGGGGTGACAGATCGGCCCATTTTTCATCATTTTTCGGTGTAAACACACCAGAAAACGGTGCGTTCTTGACTCATATGGACTCATATGCTTGACCGAGCTTGGCTTGTATTGATAATTGCAAGCCCAATATCACCGTCATTTATCATCGGCACTCAGCAGCAATCACTGCGACTTATCACTCGGCATTACTGTATGCAGTATTCAATGATATTCAATGCATACATACCTATGTATTTGTATGGCACTGTAATACCCCGTATCTATAGTATTGTATAGTATTGTATGTCTACATATATAATTAATTCTATATGCACAAACACACACACAGTACATATATATATAATTATATATATATTATGTATATCTAATATCTAATATCTAATATCCAATATCTAACAATTATCTAATATCCAATGTCTAATATCTAATATCCAATATCTATCTAACTATCTATCTGTCTATCTATCTATCTATCTAACTATCTATCTATCTGTCAATCAATCAATCTATCTGTCTGTCTGTCTGTCTGTCTATCTATCTAGCTAGCTAGCTAGCTATCTTAGCTATCTTATCTATCTTATCTATCTTATCTACCTTATCCATCTTATCCATCTTATCTATCTTATCTATCTTATCTATCTTATCTATCTTATCTATCTATCAGTCTGTCTATATGTCTATCTATCTATCTGTCTGTCTGTCTGTCTGTCTATCTATCTATCTATCTATCTATGCATGCATACGTACTGTTAATGGTTCCCCAAACCAGTGATACAGTTGATTGTCATCAGTGAATCTGGAAAGTACGAGACTCCGATCCCAGGTAGACAAGGACCTCTCCTGGCTGGCCCGGCAGCAAAGGATGACTGCGCAGCGGACCCAGGACTCAGGGTCTCACCAGTCCCCCCAGGACCCAACCCCAAAGAAAGACTGATGAAATCCCATGAAGACATATCAAAACAGTGGTTAGTTGAATGAATTGTGCTTATATCTTTTGGGGGCGTGCTCAAAATATCCATTTTGGGGTAAACTGGTATGGCTCCCCAAATGAATGGCTTCACAAAAATGATCTAGTTTGGGGGGTAAATCGCTACTCCGTCCCAAAGTTGAGCCATATACACATTGAAACAGTAGCATATGGCAAGAGAATGATCACCATCGTTATGTAAATTCCTAGCGGATCATCCAACTTATTTTGAGCCAGAGGGATGAATCACATCTTCGAATTGCAAAAGGTTTGGGATGGTTTGGATGTCAGGATCACAGGGTTGAATGGCCACTCAAATGTTTACATCGCCAAGGTGTGTTCGCGCCACTCGGGCCTTTGTCCAAGAACGGCCAGATGAGGTTGGAAAAACTTGAGCAGCTTGAAGAGCAGACCCGAGCACATAGTGTTTTTGAATGTTTGTGTTGGTTTTGTAATGTTTTGAGCCTATGTTGCCAGCGATATGTATCCTGGTATCACTGCAGAGAATCTCTACTTACACTCTTTCAAACGTTTGGTACTGCTTGGGTGGCGTGCCGACATTCCTTGGAACTAGCACTGTTTCCGGTTGGAATTGAATTGACGAAAAGAACGTCCATGGACAGACATGCAAGTGGTATTCAAGACCTTAGATCTTTGGAACTTGCGGAAGAGGGTGGTTGGTTCTTTTCTGGGACTGATTGAATCGGACTGGTTCATCACCACTTAACAGCTTATCAACAATCTAATGTCACTTTTGCCACATGTTTCATTGTCAATTGAAGTTGGGACTTTCCTTGATTTGCAAGTTGTCATAATTGAAAACAATCTGTAAGTAATTACACAATACAACAGAGCCATACATTGCTCATCATACCTCTTCCTACTCACACGCACATGATCATCAGCCCCCGTCATGGTCACCGTCCTGCTCACCATCACCATGGCCATCAGCACTAGCACCATCCTCCTCATCATCATCAACAACATCATCCTCATCCTCACCATCACCACCACCACCACCACCAGCATCATCATCATCATCATCATCATCATCATCATCATCATCATCATCACCATTAACAACATCAACATCATCAACATCATCAACATCATCAACGTTGTCAACGTTGTCAACGTTGTCAACGCTGTCAACATCATCAACATCATCAACATCATCATCAACATCAACATCATCCTCACCATCACCATCACCATCACCATCACCATCACCACCACCACCACCACCATCATCATCATCATCATCATCATCAACATCATCAACATCATCAACAACATCCTCATCATCACCATCACCATCACCATCATCATCACCATCAACAACATCATCATTATCCGCATACTCACCCTCATTCTCATCCATATCCATCATTTGTCATCATTCATTATTCATCAGTGAATCATAATCACCACTATCCTCATCATCATCCCCTCTATTCATCAATTCGAAGGTCGATGGCACGGTCGCAACGTTGATGGCTCAAAGCGTTCCAGGGTCACCTGGTGGCATTGGCCAAGTCAGAATCTTCTAACGTTGCTGGTGATGCTGAAGTGCTACGGCTGGTAATTTGGCCATGAAGGTTGATGAAGATCGATGAAGATTGATGAAGATCGATGAAGATTGATGAAGATTGATGAAGATTGATGAAGATCGATGAAGGTTGATGAAAAATTGATGAAGATCGATGAAGATTCTGAGTTTTGACCTCACGGTCTGTTGATGGAACAGGACAGCTGGACAAGACATGACAAAGTAATTGGCCTGTCCTTATTTGATGCCGTGGGGTATTCCCATAAACTACGAGTAGTAGGACCTAGGAGGACCCAGATACCTTCAAACGATCTTCTGTACCTCCCAAACGATCAGGACTCCTCTCTGTTGGTTCCTCCAAACAGAACGCACTCAGGATGCCCGAACTTTCGGAGGAACAGGCCATGAATCAATTCTTCTCCATGAGTGCTGGACCCTGAGAATATCCCAAAGGATCCCGAAGGTGTAATCAGATGCACCATCGAATGTTTCATCATCTAGCACTCCCAGTACTGTATCAATGGATTTTAATAAGTGGACACGCCAAAACATCCCATTCATCCATATCTTCCCTGCATGGATCTTTTTCTTGAAGCCTATTTTTCTGGAAATGATGGCACAGTCATATCACATCATGGTGTGTAGCTGGCAACCTCCAGTGAGGTATTGGCTTGCTACGAGGCTATCGACAATGAGACCATTGCGCAGGTAGCTGGAAAATATGGGGATTGAAGCGACAGTTGGGTTTAATGGCATTTATATCCAACCCAAACCCAACCTTTGTGGTGCCCAAAAGTGGACATGGTCGAAAGGGGACATGTCATGACATGTCTACATTTCGGTGGTTTCCTCAACCTTGGTGTCGGGGTCCTCAAGTTTTGACAAACGCCCACATGGACTACCGATACCCTCCTAGAAACTGTAGCACGAGAGGGAACTTCCTATTTTGATCCATTTTGCACACCATGTATGGATATGGTAGGCCTGGCAGGCTTTCACAATTCCGGATTTCTACGAATTTTACTCCTGAAGTAGGCACCTTGGGATATCTTGGGATTTCTTGGGATACTTCATGCGCAGGTTGTGCAAGGCCAGGGGCCACTCCCGGACGCGACGGCTGAGTCGGTGTTTAGGCCGACACAACTTGGGATCTGGACCTGGGGTGACTGAATGGTGATTGAAGATTTAGACCATTACAAACGGTGATTATGGTGATTTAAACGATTAACATCGATTAACAATGGGGATTGAATGGTGATTATGGTGATTTAGACGATTAACAATGGGATTGAATGGAATATTCATGGAAACATCATGGGGATATAACATGATATAACATATAAGCCATACAAGTTCCTAACGTGGGGTTCAGCTGCCATGAACCTAGCATTTATTGGATGATGTTTTGACCCGTTTATGGACGAGTGTTGGGATGTTGGGATGGTTTATGGCATTGGATCCCATCAGGCAATTTTTCTGGTAAAAGATGATCCAGACAGTCACCAATACCCTCTGGTAATGACTAACATAGCTATGGAAAATTGCCATTTATAGTGAGTTTTCCCATCAAAAATGGTGATTTTCCATAGCTATGTTAAATTACCAGAGGGTATGTCTGATCCTTTTTTCGGGTTTCTTCAAAATCGGGGACCCAAAAAGATTCCAAGATCCTCCAAAATTTGGTTCTTTCCGAGAGAACTGAAAAAAGTGAAACAGGGGCACCAAAATGATGGGACACAATTGGGGTACGTGTTTGGACCCACAACATGGTTCGGCATTGTCAGGATGTAGAACATTCCAGAGCTATCCATTGTTTGGAGGTTGACCATCTAAGCCCCTTAGATTTGGCGATTGCGCAAACTGAGGTAGCAATGAACACTGCAAATTTGGCATTTCTGGGTGAGGAAACCACCCATTTTGAGCCTCTTAATTATCTGAGTTTCTGGTGAGGGGGTCCGAATCTTGAAAATCTTGAAAATCTT